GAAGGGTATGTTGTGACTTACCTTCAAAATTACAGCGGCCCCTCGCTAATAACATGGTTCACCTTTCACCTCGTTGTTTCGCAGATTTTTTAGTGCAAGTTTGCATGCTTTTTGTTTTTTTTACATCACATTGTGTCCTGCATCCAGATTGCTGCAGACGATCTCCTCCGTCTCTCCTGTACAGTACGCAATCGCTGCATCGATCGCTAGCAGTGTGACTCTGAAGTGCAGTGCTGTATGTCCACGAAACGTTTTGCTCCGTCAAAAAATAAAATTGGCTTCTTGATTTCACCTATCGCTGGTTATTTTTAGAACCTAACGCCCGCGATAAACGAGGGGCAGCTGAGAAATATAACAGGGAAAAAATATCGACAAGTCGATGAACATCATTTACAGATATATTGGGTAAATGCCCAAGACATCTATAGAAATGTAAATCGCCGCTTGATTCATTCATTTGCTTAACTTGTTTTGGACCGTAAACCAGGAGCGAATCGGACACCGGAAACAAAGCTCCACACAGGAGCTTCCGCACCGGAAGTAGCATATGCTAACGTGTACATAGTCAATTGAAAGGGCTTTCATTTAGACACATGAAAGAACACCACATGCAACCACAGGATTATGTTTTGTTTGTTTGCTTTAAGCTACGAGATATCAGACTGGAAGGGGGTTGCAGGTGTAGGCAACCCCCTTCCAATCCACAAAGCAATAGATCCCCTACAGCGCCTCCTGCAGGTGGGAGGCTCAAAGGAGGATGGACACATAGGAACTGGTGGAGTCTAGCAAGGCCTGGGTTAAGGCATTCTTAAACACCTCCCCAAGGCCCTGCTCCAGGTCGAAAACCATGTATTCCTAGTTTGGTCAACCTACTCATTAAACATACAGGAGCTGCTTGGCCCTTGAAACCCATGCAATACAGTTCCTGAAGCACAGTTTCTTTGCTGATGTTGATGCCAGGGCAAGTTGGATTTCAGCTCGGCCTTCAATACAATCATCCCAGACTTTCTTATAGAGAAGCTGGTAAACTTTGACTCCCCCCGCCCCCTCCACATGTGCATGGATCAAAAACTTCCTCACAGACCGTTCA